ATGGCAAAGAAACTATAACAACTGAAGTGTTCATTGCTTTTTGTTGTTAAAATTTGAGGGGTGGAGGGCAGCAGTTTCTTAGTTGAGATATAGCACTCACTGATGATCTCACAAGTGAGATGCATCTCATCCTATTGCCAGTGTTTTCTAGTTTTACTTCATTAGTTATGTCATTCTTTGACGCTTTTCCTATTGCGTTCTCATCACTTTTCTTATCTGTTTTGCACATTTGTTTCCTTGTGACATTGCCTCATTCAGTGCACTACGCTCTCCAAGTTCCTTGACAGATTCTAGATTCATTTCTTCTTTTCTTTTATAGAAAAGTTTTGTTTAGCTTTTGATTTATTTTCCTCTTGTGCSAGTTCCTTTCCTGCCATTTCATGGGCACAGTCTCCTTTCAGGGGTATTAACGATTGCCATGTGTTTACAAGAATGTTTATCACGAGGAATTTTCATGGTCACGTTGTACCAATTTGTATTCCTTCTACTGTTCCTAACATTTGCTACATCTGGAATTAAATCCTGRGTAAATTCAGGTGCACTTGACTCAGGATAGGCATGAGTTTTAAAAACTCAAAATGAGTTCATCTACCCCAAATCTACTTTTCAAATAATTTCTCAAGCAAGTTTTCTGTGTCCTTATGTCTGTCCATTTCTCTCCTTGTCACATATGACTTACCCCTTCTTAAACTACCTTTTTTTTTGTAATTCATATTTAAGGAGAGACCATTTTAATATGCTAAAAGAGTATTTTCAGCATAAACTATTTTCAGAGTAACATTTGAGATTGTCCCATGTAAAYATATTGTTAGAGCTAAAAGCAAGGAGAGAAATATGTCCTTAACAAAACTCTATTGAGATCGATAGAGTTACTTTAAATCTATTGTTTCAGTAGTTCTATATTTTATCTAGGTTTATCAGAACTTCATTATAGTGGTTTTTGTTGTTAAGTTGTTTTTTGTTAAGTTGTCATCATCATAGTCAAAATACTATACATTTTATTTTGCTCTTTTTGATTCAAAGTGTTTTGCTTTGCCTTTTCAAGGTAGCATTCTCTGTGCATTGCATGTATTAACTTATAAGCAGTAAAATGTTTTACAGAAGTTAATTTTAACTCTTTTATAGCCTTAAGTCTTTGATATATTGATAGAAATCTTCTTCAATTAAAAGAAAGAGAAAGAATGATACAGAAATTAATCAGTTCTCCAGAGGGGAAAAAAAAAAAAGTATTTTCTGTTTCAGTTAAGTATAACCACATTATAGGAAGTTTATTTTAGGAGGTAGATGTTATAATAACAGGCTTTTGTTATTTTCATTAATGATTATTAATCATTGCATATGTGTTTCTGAACAAAAAATGGAGCTACTGATACTGTTATAAAAATGTCTTCTCTGAATATATATAACGTTCTAGCTATCTTGTTGTTTCATACAGTCCATATGAAAGACCTCCAATTTTGTACATTTTACAATCTCTTTTCCTTTTAAATGCAGCCAATGTGCTGACTTTTCTGCAGCAAAGAGGGGTTTTATGCCATATTATTAGTACTAACCAGGGTTTAAAACTGGATGCATAGATCCCTCAGTATGTGAATGTCTTGCAATGGTCTCTCTGAGTTCATTATCTGCTTTCCATGTTCAACCTAGCCTGTCCTTTTCACTTTCTCAGTATGATCTCAAGTATGACCAGTGTTGAGATAAGCTGCTCTCACTCTTAGATACTAAATTAATCTGTTTTCGGCCTATATTTTTGCCTCTTGGGAGTGATCAGAAAAGCCCAAGCACAAATGAACTGGCTTGGGATGTCCAAATTTGTTCTGTGTTGGTCAAAGCAAATGGTCCAACCTTTGAAGCATTAATGCTTCTGAGTGGAATTTGCCAGCAATAGTAGCTAAAGCTCTTAAGAAGAGTTTACAAGTTTTTCCAGGCTAAAGTTTGGTTTTTACTGAACTGAACTAGTCTTTAATGGAAATATCTGATCCAGAAAAAATAATGGGTACATTCCACTGCTTTGACTTTAGATGTGAATACATAATTCACATAGATATCTTAAGTGAAGCTTTTGTTTATGTTTCTGTCCTCCCTTGAGCAAGAATTTCATGGAAGATCTTACTCCTGTTCAGTTTAATGAGATTTCCCATGGAGAGTTAGCCTCAGAAGACTCTGGTATTTTTAATATGCACTTTTGAAATATTTCTTAAAGATAATGACAGGATCCATAAAGGAAATGTGCTAACTACAAGCAGGATTGCCATGTATCGTTAATAAGCCTGAGTGGTGCATAATCCTTTGAGGTTCCTATYGTAGGCAGAAAGGTCTTGTGTAGGATTTAAATGAAGCCTAAGTAGATATGTTCTGGAAGAAAAAAAAATTAATAATGAAGACAATTCTGAGAATGTGTTCTTCAGTGGATCTGACTGTTTGTTTATAATATGTATAAACACGAAAGGATAAAAGGGAGCGCCTGAATGAGAGCTATTGTTGTTAAAAGCAAAACTCATTGCAGAATAGGAAAAAACAACTGAAGAACTAAACAAAGAAATAGTGAGCAGGTGCAGAACTTGGAAGGAGAAAGATTTGAACTAGATGGACAACATAGTTTTAAAAGCAGGACTCTGTTTCCCTATTGTTTGGAAGAACAAAAATATGATCTGCGCAGATTGACTCCCTTCCTCTTTGATGCTTCCAATTACTATGTCACAAATGGCAGTGACTGATTTGTGGTAGTGACAGAGTTTTTTTTCCTCTCATTTTGAATTGTCGTCTTCTATTTCTTTCATATATAGATTAACAAGGATTTAGAAAGTTTTTACGTAGCCTTAGTAAGTACAGCTTCTGTAGTGAATGTTTCCATTGTTGAGAACCTTTGCCCCTGAAGCAGATGTCTGAAGGAATACTATTAAATCTATCATATCGTGTAGAAAATAAATGTATTGGAAAAGAGATGCAAAAAAATACATTTTTTTCCAGTTGTCTAGTGAGCGGTGCAGATAACACATTCTTTCAAGCCTACTGGAATAATATAACAATATACATACTAAGGAAATATTCTTATGGCATTATGACTATAAGATAAATTCTCCGATGATAAATGATAATCCAAGCTCTATGAAGTTTATTCTGCTGGAAGCCTAATTGGGTAGTTCCTAACCTATGGGACATACAACCTGGGAAAATCTATTTTTATGGCATGCTGATTTTGCTGACCTTAAGGAAGGTATGTCTGGCAGAATTGTTGAACTAGAAAATGGTGAGAAGAGACAGGTACTCCCAAAAGAAAATTGGTTTGCTGAATTGGTTTTGTTCAGTAGTTTCTTTACATCCCCTCCCTGCCTTCAATCTATTACTCTAATCTAGCTGCTTTATTTGAATTAAGAATTAAATTAGGAATAGATTTTCTACGTAGCTTGGGGGGATTTGGGCAAGAAACACAAAAGTTCTGAAATTCATTTGGTGAAAATAATACAGATGTAGTTGTCTATTTCAAAACGAACAAAAAATACATAAGTCTTTAGTATAGGTATTGATGCAACCACTCGTCATATTAAAGTTTCTTGGCAACTGCCCTTGACTTTCTGCAGCTTTAACTTTATAAAATTCTGATTCTTAGGAKTGATTTTATTTGTTGAATGCCTGCCTCAGTCTGAGATTTCATTAAGAAAATCCAGCCAAAAGATTTTAAACATTTCCAAAGAGCTGGAAAAATATACTGAATTGTTTATTTAAGTAATTATTGATGGATTGTAATGGAAATGCTTTGGTGGATTTGTCCTCTTGAGAAATTCATTTGAATTTTGGATGTGATATTCTGCAAGTCAGGGTGGTATCTTTTACACTGTCTTGGGAAAGAATAAATTATGTGCAGGTTTGCCCAACTTGTAAGTCTGAAAGGTCACTTTTTATGTGTTTACTGCTCTCTGTAGATTGCCAGACCAGCAAAATCTCTCAGATCTGAGCATTTTGTAATTCCTTATATTGTCTAGAAGCCAAATTTTGTAGAAACTGAGCATGCCTCGGCCAGTGATCATAGGGATTTTATAAAGACTTYCCTTGCACCTACTTCCACATATAACAGATATAGCAGAAATACATAGTATATTAGAAACACATAGAAAGGCAAGCTCAAAACTACAAGGCTGGAATTCCTTATGATTGTCCTCACTGATATGATAGAGCTCGTTTTTTATCCCAGGAGCCAAACTCACACACCTAACTTAAAAAGTATTTTKTTTGTCCTAAAGGTATTGGCAATATTTTATAGGTGTGCGGATTCAGTAATATTATAAAGTATAAGATGGATGAGCCTTAACTAGTTCAGTTCAATTAGTCCAGTTAGTACCAATTCACATATTTTGCTCCTGAGCATTCTGCACTGTTATATAGTCTTTTCTACCACGGAGAGGTCAAATTATCAGATTGCTTTGTTGTTTCTGGAGCTAATAGAACTGACTTTTTTTTCTTTAAGGAATTACTCAATAAAGAGTTCCAAAATTGACCCCTTTGACTTGCTCTGTGTGGGATTAGGTAGCTCTCTTCTTTTCTTTTTAAAGAACATCACAAGTTTTTATTAATTTGCCAGGAAAGCACTGTTAAGGAACCTAATGCATGTAATAAGTAAACAGGGAAATGTTAAGAAAACAGAAAATGTTTGTGGAACTGCCAAGTTATTTTAAGCTTCGGAAATGATTTCATAATATGGAAAAGTAAAAAGGAATCTAAACGACTTAGTGAAAGGTGAAAAATGACACACACTGAATTACTATAGTTTTTGTTTCTGATAGAATTGTCAATCTTTTTGATGAATGATGCAACTGATATTGTAACACTCATTATTTAAAATCGTGATTAATCATCTCTGAATTTTGGACATATTGTTAGTAGTAATTTTCTCATGCTTAATGTAGTGATATGTCTTAGGATGGGCAAAATTAGTAGAGTGATAAAAGAAGTAGCTCTCAGAACAYTTTCTTTTGTGTATTTCAGGGGATAACTCCTGTCTCCACTGTCAAAGAGTGAGATCAGCTTTGACTCCAGTCTCGTTTACCTCCTAGGATCATGTTCCAACCAAGCCTACCACTTCTTCCTTCAGCATTTACAGGTATTTTCCTCAGCCATGCTGACAGTCATGTCACTCATCTGAGTGCTCTTATCACATCTACTATAACTAATGAAAAGTAAATGAACTATATGCTGATTGATAGGATTTTCTGATCAGTATATCAGTCTGGCATTTGGCCCAGAGGTTTTAAAGACACTTTCCTGAGCATTTCAACAACATCCTATTTTTGCACTGACATTGTATACCTGAGAAAGCTATTTTTTGGGGGGTTTCATATCCTGGTGTTTACAAACACTGTGATGATTTCTGCACCAAATGATAAATGTTTTCGCTAAATGTGAAAGAAGTAGACAACGTATCTCCTTAAATATCTTCATATTACCACATTCCTCTTTCACGTTCAGTGTGTTTTCTGCTCTAATTGAGATTAGACAGTCTTTTACCATCATCTATCAGAGATGTTAGACTTTCTACTTTCTACTGACTTTCTAGTGCTCCGTGGGTTTCRTAGGCTTTGAAAGACCCTGGTGGCACAAACCTACAGCCACATGACTGTAGTTTGATTTGTATGGACTATTGCTGGCAAGAACCCTTACTTTCCCCTTTCAGACAGTTTCCCCACTTTTCCTTCTACYTCTTTCCTATTTTTCTTTCAGATAATAACCTATTTTTAATTACTTTTTGCTGAAATATCTACAGAGTTTTCTCCTGATGCATGTTATTTACTGATGACTAGACAAAGAGATGTTACTTTTTATTGACTAATATCTACTCTTGTTACATTTTTTCCTTTTTCTAATGAAGCTGTAAACACTTCAACGCAAATGCACTTTCTTTCTCCAGATTTTTACAGCAGGTAGAGTTCATGAGTTTTGGTCATCACAATCACAGAATACAACTAAACAGTCATAAGAAATAATAATCTATTCATTTAAGTGCTTATTTTTGCTATTAAGGTAGGAGTTGATTGTAGTTTTGTCTGAGTTCATTCTGGGTGAAAAAAGCAATAAAAAGTCTATCATCTCTTACTGCAGCCAAGTATTTGTAAACTGAAGTTGCTGAGGGCCCAAGTGATATAAGTAATCTTGAAAACAAATGGGTCAGCCCTGTGCTTGTGAACTTTTGTCCTAGGAAGCCAAGGGGTAAAGGAAAGGAGAAAGGAGGGAGGAGAAAAGGGAATACTCAGTAACATATGTTTACCGGGTACAAGCTTGTACCGGGTACTGTACAAGCTTGCAAAGCTTGTTCAGAGGCTTATATATGTTAAATCTCCAGGAATACTGTCAGATAAATTCAGTGCTGATGAGTAGGTATAATTTTGAATTTTCTACTGGATGTTTGTAGAGTTGTTAGGCTTGAATCCTTGGCTGTAAAATCAGGGYGACAGTGTGGTGTGCTGGGCTAGCCTGGGAGTACATTCCATTCTCTCAATAGAAATTTCCACCCTATCCGTTCAACTGAGGCCAGAAATCATTTACAATTTAGAAAAATGAATCTGTACTACTTTTAAGTCTTCAGTTGAGAAGTATATATTAACAGAGATTATGAAAGCATTTTAGTCTAAATTTAGATGAGAAAATATGTATAAGAACAATGAATATGCAGTAATGCTGACTGTTGCTCTGAAAGAAATTGGTCTCAGAATATTTTAATTTTCACCTTTTTATAAATCTCTGTACATCTATAGAGCTACTAGTGTAGGTTGTTGATATTCATTGGAGGATTTTTTACATTCTATTTTGTAACTGGCAGTGTCAGTCTTTCATACCAAGTGGATCTGTTACTGCTTTTAAGTCTGGTTAGATGGAAAATATTCCCTACAGACATGTTTACAGCAAATCTGTTAATGTTTCTGTTCATTACCATATATTTTCTGTTTTCTAAAATATGACTTCTTATTTTGCAGCATCCTGACATGCTCATCCTGTCTCCTGAGCTCCAACCGTCGCATCTATTCCAGAGGCCATCACTGTAACCCCTGCAGCGCGTCCAGTGCAAGTCRCCTTGGAGAGCCTGGAGTCAGTGATGGCCGTGGAGCTGCTTCCATACCCAGCGYCTCCACGTGCAGAACATACCAGGCTCAACCTTCAGCAGAGTGCAACAGCAGTGGTGGGGAGAACCACAAACTAAATGTGTAAGAGGCTGATAGATTTGATTAAAGGTGCGTGCAGATCTTATTACCTTGGCTTGGTGGTCTACTGACTCATTAATTTAAGAGTGTTTCCATAAAGGATTGTTAGTTTCGTAGCATTAGATTAATTGATGATCTTATCTGGGTAGCTACACGCTTCTGAATTAAGGCCCCGAATTAAAACTGAAAAAATAATTACTTTAAAAGTTTTCATTTCTTTTCTCTTTTAATCAGAAGCCAAAGAATGACTCTAAATGTTCATGGATATAGTGCACAGGAAAAGAGGTCTTGCAGATGTCAACAGGTGTGATTACTTAAAGGTTTTTGCTCATTGATCAATCCATTCAGTAACTACTATAGAAATCCATGCTAAATGAGATGAGTAAGATCTGGCTGAGGAAGAGAAATGTTTTTCTTTCGTTATGTCCAGGTACATTGCCTCTAGTGTACTCGACATCAGAATCTTGACCCAAGAGTATATTGAGTTCAGAAGAATTACACTGGAGTAGAGCCAAAGTTACTGGGTAACTGGCTTTAGAATATAGAATATTGCTTTACTGCTCTTGCAAACACTAGTTGCAGTTTCTATGTGKTTTTTGTGCATTTGTAAAATATACATACAGCCCCCATGTAGACTTTTATTGATGCTGTTTGGAGGCTGTAATAAACTTTCTGTAACATTTTTTTCACCTTGTTGTGTTGCAAGCCTGGGTATTTACACCTTTTTTGATTCTATAAGCTAGAGCTGTTTGCTTTCATTGCTGTAACTGTTTGCTGAAGGATGGACTATATCAGATACGGAARCTTTTGTCACAATAACAACAGCAAAAAGAAATTTTTTTTGCTACAAATTTATTAAGCAAAGGTTCTTCAAGGACCTAATATAGAGAATGCTGATTTGTAGATCCCAAATATGCCCTGGAGTCCTGGAAAGCATTATGTTTTCCTTACCCATTGGCTACTGGTAGAGAGTGCGTGCTTGGAAATTTCCCAAAATACATATTCAAGAATTTTTTTTTATAGTTAAAATGTTTTGTTCCAGCACAAATAAAGAAAACTGAAAATAAGAATATACAAACTTTTCTTAGTCTGGAGGAACAGTGTCCACAAGGGGAGTTGGAATTGCTGTTTTGTGGTCTGGAATTGCTGTTTTGGTAAATGGCCATTGTATGTAACACTTACTGACGAGTACAGTAAGTACTGTATTACTATTATTATAAGTTTATTTAAAAAAAACTTTCGATGTTGAATAAGTCTATCTTGGTTCTTAAAACATAGCCAGGAAAAATTCAAAGCAGACAAGAAAACTTCTTATTTAAACAAAAGGACACCAGCGTATGGGTGGCCATGTTCAAATTCACACCTGAGATGACTGTCTTGGGGAGCTCTTCTCTTGCAGGCTTACAGGTTTCCTTCTCTTGCAGGAAGAAGGGCACAGATAATACAGCACCAGACAGTGTCTATTAAAAAGGATCCCAGATTGCCTTGGCTATCTAGAAGACCAGGTAGGCACAGCCAGTCACTGACAGGTAAAAATGGCTCTTGTCACAGTTGCTTGAGAGTTCAGGTCCTGCAGCCCTGGAGCTCTAGCTGGGAATGCAAAGCTCTCATGTACTCCTGTTGCAGGAGTACAGCATGAGTACCCATAAATAGATTTGGGACTGGARACCTCAGAGACAGTTAATCTAATGTAGATGAATTGACTTTGAGTCTCCAAACAAAGCTGAATAATTTTAATGATGCACAATTTGATAGGATACAATAATGTAATCCTCCAGTGCATGGCCAGGCTAAGTGCCTACAGATGATGGCGAAACACTATAAAAAGACATAAGTTCAAAGCAAGTGGAGAGAAGCAAGATCATTTCTGCTGAATAGTMGTTACTGTTATCACCGAAATGGCAACCTGCTTCTTAACACAGTGCTTTTGTTCCTGTGAGGATCTCATGTGTGCGAATTTAAAATGGGTATGTATTGAGATGCATTATTATATTATTACACACCAGAAAAAATTGTTTGGTCCTATTTTGCATTCACGAGAAAGAAGTGGACTATAGCTCATAAATCTTTAGTATATCTCTTGTGTTAAAAGGGTAAAGTATGAGGATAATAGCATAGCAATGTCTACTAGGATCATACTGTCCTTTAAATTTAAATATCACTTATATGTACTGAAGTATAACCTTTCAGTTATTTACCTGCAGCACATTATCTGGACAATACAGAATCAGACACCATAGTGGGCCCAGAAGAGATTCCCTGCAGTACCATCAAGGAGATTGCCATGAGGCAGCAATAGAAAAAAGAGCTTAGGTCAGCACCAGCAGACACGTTGGTGCCAGAGACGCCCTGCTCTTCCCAACGGCACTTTGCAGCCAGGTACATGTGGTCACTTTAAAATATGTTTAAAATGTTTATCTGTGTGTTTTGTTGTGGCTTGTTATGTGTGTTTCAATGTGTTTAGTGATATGCTTATCAATATTTAAAAAAAAAAAAAAAAACTTGTGTTAGAATTAAGCATATGAATTATTCACTGTTTCATTTATTCAGTCCACTCATTCAAATGAATTCTGTGTTTTCTTTGCATATAGATTTTAAATCYGATATCTATAAAAACCCAAACCTTCAACCAGAGCTTTTACTTTGATAACTGCCAGGATGGGACCATAATTGGAATATTTTCAGAGGAAGTCATTGCATATCTTGCAGACAGTGGAGTGGCTATCATAAGGTAAAGACATTCTGTGGAAGTGATAAGAAATTGGTTGGGGTTTTATTTGTTTTTCCAATGTATTTGTTGGCAGTGCTAAATAGTATATCATTTTGGAATGTCAAAGGCTGTTTGTATTGTAAGGGTAGTTCTCTTTTAATATTAATATGTGGTAGAATACAAAACCTTGTAATTTATCCTTGCCTACTCAGAGGCTAGAATGCCATGGGTTATTTATCTTTAGGGAGCAAAATACTGAGCCAAAGAAAGTTAAGTATGATGCTTTTCAGTAAAGAAAAAGAAATGCATTTATCTTTTACGGAATCATCTGTGCAAGCCTCCTCCAGAAGTAGGAGCGAGTATGTGTTACAGTGGATAAGACCTAATAGTTTTAGGTAGTGACTATCTCTGTAACTTAACAGCAAATTAACATGCACTAGGAAATAGCTGTGAGAGCCATCGTTTGGATCAGCTTTGTTATTTCCATACCACAACACAAAAGAGCTGAATAAATGTAATATTTTATTGATCACAAACATAGTATTTTAGAATAAAATGCATGATGATTCATACAAACAAAGGGAAATTAAAGCAAAACCAAAATAATTATTTCACATTTTTTCATTTCATTCTTAGTCTAAGCAATAAATACAATGCTAGAGCATCTATTAATCCTATTTACATAGTACATTACTTGAACATTGCCTGATTTCCAGCCTGAATATTTCATGACATGAAAAAGAGTACATGTTGCAGCATTTCTACAGCCAAATAGATGACCAAAACAAAAAAAACAAACAAAAAAGTTAATATTAAAAAAATAAACTGAGGGCCCTATAATGGAGCATGAATCCTGCTCTATCATGCTATCTCTCTGTGCCATTTATCATCTTAACTGAAGACAGTAGCATTCAAAATAGACAATCCATGTCATRGAAAACTAACATCCTTATATTACAGATACCAAATATAAGACAAGCTCCTAGACAAGGCAAGTATTTCCCTAGCCCCTTTTGGACTGATATAAGAAAACCCTCACTAGATAGCCAACAAAGTGCAAACAACAGAAATGTTTGCATGTTCAAAAGACTCTCATAGTCCCATCACCACAGAGAACATAGATAAAAGCTAAATTTTTTGCTAAAGTAGAAAACATGAGGAATATGAATATAAGGCTTTGATCTAATTTATGACAAAAGATTTTTATGGAGCAGAGCCTGCTCTGGGCTGTGAATGAAGTGAAAAYGATGAGGTAGGAAGAGGAAATAGGGAATTTGTATTTTCCAGTACAGAACAGGAACTGGGCTAGCTAACCCCAGAAGAGGTGGGGAATGGTAGTGCTCCTCTGCCAGGGCCAGACATGAACATTTTCTTGCATATTCACCTGCATGTATGTTTCTTTTTCAAATTCAAGACAAGTGCTCCTAGAAACAGGCTGTGGTTGTCCACCTAGAAGTATTAGAATAATAGCTATACAAAAATGTTATTTTTGCCCCCCTCCTAATTTCCCCTTACAAATTTCTCTGATAGTGGACAGGGAGCTATCAGAATCCAGTAACTTGCATTWAATGAAACAGATTTGGTTACACAGTCTATTAAATTTGAACTGTAGAGCTGAAAAGAAAGCTGAATTCATAGAATTTAATATTTTATTACACTCTCTACTGTCATTTATGTGTTAATTACAACAACCCATGGTACCACTGAAATAACTGACTGATTATATGCCTTGAAAGGGCTTAACAGCACTTTTTAGAATAGACAGGTATCTGCCTGGGCTTTGATCTGCAACTGGTACCTTATTTCCCATGGTTTCTGGAAGTGGGGCWCACCAAATGCATGTATCTGAAAACAACCCAGGATACAGACCAGGAATAGTAGGAGCCAAACAGCCATGAATCTTAAAATTAATGAGTTCCACTGACAGCAAGAGTACAGCTCTGATCTGGTCCCCACTGTGTAAAGCTATGCAAGAACAGGAATTTTGTGCACCCACAGAACACTTTTTCCAAACGTTGCACAGACTAAACAATAATATGTAGCTCAGAAGGCACACCTGTAAATAACTTCTAATCATGTTACAACAGATACCAAGGCTGTATTCTTGCAATATAAGAGCTGATTGCCATATTTCACACAACTCCAAGTAGAGCATATCAGAAACTTTGCATCAGTCTTGCAGAAGAACAGAAATCTTAATTTGTGCAGCCCATCTGGGATTCTATATTATGAACCTAACTTGTTAATAAGACAAAACTACTTTCTGAGTTCAAACACCAGACTAGGAACTCTAAAACACTATGTAAAGGTGCAATTTACATGAACTTACACCCCCCTAATGTTTTCCATCTAAATAAAAAGCATTTACAGCCTCGTGAAGTCACAAACCAATAAACACTGCAACAGCACATTAATTAGGTGCTAATTAAATTTACTAAAAGGCAAAAATGAATTAATTGCTGAAAACCAAAGTGGTCTCACAAGGACCTATCTTTCAGATTTGTATTGACATAAGTGCACCTAAAACATATTAGCAGTAGAATAACCTATCAACTTTCTCCACTTCTCTTTTTCCATTTCAAGTAGACTTATCTCTGCAAAATAAACCAGTATTCCTTTTTCTACTTTTGCACATTCTAGTAAGTTTTACACTCACATCATATCATGCTCTCCCACTTTAGGTGAACTGACAAAGAAAAAACAGCTTCTATTATTKCTTTAAAGCAAAAAGATTAACAAACCCACCTTCACCTCAATCCTTATATTTAAGGACCTCCAGACCTTCCTGACAGCCTCATCATTTTCACAGAGACCTTTATTTGCCAATACAACCAACAAAACAACTTACTGATGGTTTATGAGAAGACTGAATCTGATCTAAGGCCTAATAATATAAAAATTTATCAATCTCAAAGCTTCTTTTATAAATCAAACTTTATAATTAATTTTGGAAACATTCATGACATTGCTAACATTAATCAAACAAATTAATCTGAATTTAATCTCTGGCTTTAAAGGCATCACATCATTCAATTTTGCATGCTTTTCCCAAGGAAGCTACAAAATTAATCAAAATGTTGTCCCAAAATTAAGGAATAAGGTATCAGGCACAGGGCCAGAGCACTACATAAAACCAGACAACCCTAAACACCACCATCACAATTTGTACATGATTTTTTTCCCAGTCACGTACTTACTTAAGCACAAAATAAAGTCCCCTCGGCCCAGTCATGAATTACCATCTGGAGGGACTTACAGTTATTCTGCACTTTTCTTTCTCGCAGTAAGACCTCATAGATATTCTCCGCATTAAAATCAATAAGAAGCTTCCATGAACTCCAGTCAGAGAAGGTGATACACCCATGTATGTGAAAACAGCTTAAACATAAAAAAACCCTCAAAACTTACTGTATTCAGTTGCAGTATGAAAGCAGGTAGAGTCTTAAACTTACACTGGCTTCTGTATGCTTCACTTAAAAGACTAGTACTACCAAACTGGCTCTGAATCAGTATTTGTCACACTATTAACTTAGACTATCTTTTTTCTTTTTTTTTTGCCCCCTATGAGTCAGATGGTGGACACAAAATTAACCTGGACAATATACTCCCATTATTGCACCATTTCTTTCTGCTATCTTTTAGGTCAAATTAAGACAATAGTCTGGTAAATATGGTATTTACACTAAATGTCTATAGGCAAATGAAGTGGCTTCAATACAATGCAGTCTTTATACAAACTTCCAAGAGAAAAAGAAATCCTTCATTGATTCCCTTTGTACAAAAAAAAATTGCCAACTTTGTCTACACAGTAGAAACTGAAGAGGCAAAGTTTGTATTCTAACATATGTACTTATATAAATGCATATATATAGATATATATGCACACATATATATGCACAGGTGTCCATAGKATATAGATACACAGAAACACAAACATGTATATGCATATGTATATACACATAAGAAAAAAAAGTGTGGTTTTAGTTTGCATCATTCAGGAAGAAAACATATCCCAAGTTAGGCAAAACTGCTTCTGGCCATGAAGTCAAATCAATCAAGTTCACGAGTTGTGCGTGCGACACGCCGGCAGCCACGGAGTCTGGCAGTCACCCATACAGCTTTTCCGTCTTTAAAACAACAGTCTCCATGTCATGGTAGCCTTTCCCATTTAAATGTTCGCTGGTGCAGTCGTGGTTGTAGCTGTAGCCCTGAACGTCGCTGATGGATGACACGGTGTAGGAGGCTGTGCGCATGGCGTCTGAATGGCTGAAGCTGTGCTCAAACTGGATTTTGTACTGATTCCAGTGTCTCCGCAGAACAGCTTGGACCTATGCCAGGAAGCAAAGGAAAAGAAATGCATATAAAGTATGTAGAAAGATATATTTCATACATCCTGAATGCCAGAATAAATGGTGCTCATGATACTAGAGGGTAAGGGCTCAGTAAGCTTTTAAAATCAGGGTCCCTACATACGATATGGTACATGAGACATTCTGAAAGAATTACAGTTCACACAGGCATTAKTCCTTGGCAAATTCAGAGAGCTATAATTAC